AAAAACAAATAACAAAATTATTACCGTGGTGTACCACAAGTCGCCCATGAGCATGGATGACAGATGTCAAAATCAAAAATATCAAGATGACTGTTCAACGTTAAAAAGTAAACAGAGTCGAAATTTTCGTTTCTTTGTGATTAGCTTGAAGATAAAATAGTATTGAGAGTAAAAGGGGGCTCTTGTTGGTCCATGAAAATGGACTGAAAGAATGCGGATTGAATAGAAAAGAAGAAGATTGCTCATCTCTAAGTACTTTATTTTAAATTCAAATAAGAGCTCCTAATTAAACATACAAAATACAAATTAACTCACAAAAGTAACAAAAAAATAAGATACATTTTTAATAGGTACTTATTGTTACTTAGGTATTTACTTATGTTCCTTTTTATTGTTACAAATTTAAACAGGAGATAGAATATTCAATTTTAAGACAAAAATTTCCTATGAACGTGTATCGAAAAATGCTACGCAAGGAGTGTGTCTTTTAATAGTTTTTTTCAATATCTCCGAAACTATTTTAGAAAAAATTTCATAATTTGGTACAGATGATAACCTTTATACACCTAAACAAGTACAAAGATAAAATGTAGAAATTTTTAATTAGGGGCTTCCTAAACTGGGTGGGTTTAGGGTAAAAAAGTATTCTAACTATTTTGCCTGTGGCTTSTTGCCACTTTCAGCAACAAATTTCATTTCTAAATTTCATAGTGTTTCATAAAAAAAGTTTTGCGTTTTTCCGATACAATTTACCAATTTTCAGTAAAATCGGTTTAAAAATTCATGTTACAGACCATAAACATCATAGAAATTAAAAATTTAATTATTTTTACCGTTTAGGACGCCCCTTATTAAAAATTTTTTAACTACATCTTGGTATTCGTTTAGGTGTACATACATATAAAGGTTATCAGCTGTATCAAATTTACTAAAATTTTAAAATATTAGAAAAAACCTTTTAAAAAATGCACCCTTTTTAAAGGGTGTAGCTCTCTTACATAGCATTTTTCGAAACATGTTTATAGAAAACTGTTATAAAATTGAATATTCTATCATCTATTTAAATTTGTACCTAAGAAAAAAAATGGAACACTGTATAAGTAATTCATAAAAATTAAAAATTAAGTCACTAAAATAACAAAAAAATTAAATATTTTTTATACTTATAACACTATAATAGGTAGGTATAACAAAGTGTCAACATTTCAGGGGGGGGGGGGTTTGAATGCCCTAATTCCCCCCTTAATGAATTAAAAATCTTTAATCCATTTCTAACACCTATAGATTGATTTTCTAAAGTTACAAATAAGCAAATAAATGTCTTTTTGTTATCACCAACTTTTTAACAATTTGACATTACATTCCAAAAAAGTAGGAGAAATTAAAATCATCACCCTAAATTATTATTTGCCACAAATACAGTAACAAATGTAAAATCACTAAACTGTACAAAATAATCAGCAATAACTGGTTAAGTTGGWTATAGAATTAAGAGCTTTTTTATCAATATAGATATGTTGTTACTTGACAGATATTTGACAAACAAGATTGTAGGAATCTTAAAAATACTATTTATTAAAACTTAAAGCGCCAAGTGATGCTGTCAATAAAATCAAACAACAAAAATTTACTTTTGTAGTGCTATTTAAACATGAAATGAAGTATTGCCAACTCAAACATCTATTCTAAATAAGGCGATGACTCAGTTTCGGAAAACAAAAATTATCGCCATTTAAAGCACATGTAAATACCTATCTATTCTTATTTGAAAGAAAGCTTTTCAATAAATAGTACCTTTGTAAACACAACAGTTTATTGCGCCTTTGAAATTAAGTTGGTGACAGTGAATTAATCGGGGATTTATGAAATTAATTGTAAAGATTGTGAACAAAAATACAGGGTGTTCCATTTTTATTGTTACAATTTAACCAGATGATAGAATATTCAATTTTAAGATAAAAGTTTCCTTCCTATAAACATATATGGAAAAATTTTATATAAGGGAGCCACGTCCCTTGAAAGGGGTGCATCTTTTAAGCGATTTTTTCTAATATTTCAGAAATCATCGTGGATAAAATTACAAAATTTAGTACAACTGATAACCTTTATAAACCCAAATGAATTCAAAGATAAAATGTCAAATTTTTACTCAGGGGCGTTCTAAACTGGGGGTTTAGAGTAAAAAGTATACTCTAACTATTTTGGCAGTTGGTTTTTGCCATTTTCAGCCACAAAGTTCTAAATTTCATAGTTTTTCACATTTTTCATTTTTTCGATAAAACTTACCGTTTTTGAGTTAAATCAGTTTACAATTTATTTTACAGACCATAAAGAGGATAAAAATTAAAAATTAAATTTGTTTCACCGTTTAAGAGACATGTGATTAAAAATTTCAACAACTAATCTTTAAATTCGTTCAGGTGTTTAAAAGTAATCAGCTGTACCAACTCTTGTAATTTTATATATTCTGCAATAGTGGGAAAACCCCATTACAAACGCATCTCTTGCAGAGTGCTTACGTAACATTTTTTGATACATGTTTGTAGGAAACTTTTGTCTTAAAATTGAATATTCTATCACCTGKTTAAGTTTGTAACAATAAAAACGGAATTTAAGATATAACAGATTTGAAAAATCAAGTGTGGCCCAACATATTTTTGAAAAAGACCATAAAATCAATGAAACTAATGTAAAAATTATTAGAGTAGTCAATAATTGTAAATTTGTTGACGGCTTTCGTCGAATTCAGACAACGGCCCCATTCCCTTTTCTCCCCTCTACTCGTTAGTTGGGGGTAACGAAAGTGAAAAAATTTTGGTGTGACGGGCTAATCGTGTTTTSTTTCAGTGAATTGACAAAAAATCTACTAGCAACTGTGAAAATTCCGTATAAAACTGCGACTTTTGTRTTTGATAGTCACTTTTTAATCACAATAAAATATCAAATTTGTGATCTATTTGACGGGAAAAAATCACAATCTTTTACAAACACGTGCTAACTTTATCTCTAAGTATCCATTTTTACCAACTTAGACCACTTTGATCAGAAATTTYATTAAAGGCATGTTGTTATTTTTATTCAATAAAATWAAACAAATAAAGCACATTYCTTCGAGTTTGTATAAAGATTTTTTATATTATTTTTTTTATCTACAAGTGTGCATAAAAATAAACAAAATTTTAAATGAAAACTTATTGTTTCAGGTACAAGACGAAAAGAGCCCAACACGAAAAAGGCATGCATGATCAACAAAACAACAACCCTTTGCCATCGCCGCGGCGCGTCGCAGTCCCAGTTTTGGTCCGCGACGGCAAACCCTGTCTCAGTGGTGGTCCCAAGCACCCCGATCCCGGTTCGATGCAAGTCCCCGGTGGCCCCATGATGATGGGCTCTCATGGGCCTCTCATGTATGGCCAGCCCCGAGTTTGGTGGTGATCGCGTTTCCCCATTTAAATGTTCCTCAACCCATTTTTTTTTCTAATTTTGAATATAATATAGTGTAACTATAACGAAATCAGTGCGATCAGATAAGATATGGACTATTGTGATTGAATCGGGCACGTTGTCAAGGTCGAAGAGTGATTTTTGTCCTCGGCGTTGTTTCCAAGCGTCGGTTTGACGGGTGAAATAATGGGGAACGCCGCCGACAAACTCGCAACTAGTTTATGTTTTTCGATGTATTTAAAAACYCTGTAAATGATTGTATATGTGTAAATAGAACTTGTAGACTTGTGTACAGTAGGTTAGAATGGTTAAATTCAGTGGCCGAAGTCATAGTCTAATCTAGTCTACATTTTTGTGGACGTCTGATACTTACGTTCGTTCTCAATTGTACAAATTTATTTATTAATGCGTAATAAAAGACATTTCACCACTGACTGTTGTTTTTTTCTTAACATAAAACAATTTAAATTTTACTTTCAAATAAGTAWAATTCATTMCGGCATAAAGCAAACCAATAATACTCTTAAAACCGTAAAAACACAAAAAAACATGGGTTAATACCAGGTAATAAATAATTCAGTAACAGCAAAAATRATAGTAGGTATACAGGRTGCACCAGAACTCGCGCCCCTATGTAAGGTACGATACCAAGAACATAAAAAAATCAAATCGATAGCTTGGATAGAAAAACAGTTATGCAGCTTGCACGC